GTCTAGTTTGTATTGTTTGTATGTTTTATCGCTTTAGTTTGTATTATTCGTATGTTTGTATGGTTTGTACTGTTTGTAAGTCCGGTTTATATACTTCGTAATTTTCCATAATACCCAAACTACTCCTGTTATTAATTAAAAAGTACTTCCCACTTTTTAACCGTAAGATTGGTGTGTCTAGACCTAAGGGTTAAGAGGGGCTTAGTCAAGTGACTAAGCACCCCTGGTCACTAGATCCTTCCTCCAGCATATGATGTGGACTCTGATTGGCCAGGGTTACCCCATGCTGCGTTGTCCTCGACCCGACCCGTCTCTCTGTCACTCTTGTCAAAGGTAAATTCATTGGTCTCACTTTTATTTCAGCTCAACAAAATAAGGCAGAAAAAGTAACAAAATCAAGAATAGCAGATGATATATATGGTATGGTCGATCAACGAGTTCCTATGTGTGTTCTTTTGAGGTAAGATGCTTTCTTGCAGTCATTCTATCGATAACCTTGTGGTGCAATAACTTTATGCATAATCCAATCAGAATCCGACACATCAACGCCCCCTTCTCTCTCTTGAAAAAATCTTTAATTTTCCTTCCCTTAATCTTTAACGAACGATTTCTCACTCGTTTTAAGCCAGAATTTAAATTTTTTTGCACAGTTAGATCATATTAATTGTGCTCTTCAAAATGATATCCACTTTGATATTTTTTGGAACAAAAAAATTTAGTCAGTTATTACCAGTCTATACCATATGGTATGAAAAATACCACCCCATACCAGGGTGGTATAGTATGGTATGGAGTTGGTAAAGAGAGGTATGAAATTTTTTCACCCAGAAATTTTTGAAATCCAATAGAATATGATTAAATCGTTCCTTTTGTGCAAAAAAATCCGAAAATGACTAAAAAACGAAGGAGATACATATGGTATGGAGTTGGTAACGAGAGGTAAGGATTTTTTTTTCTAAAAAAATATTGAAAATGGATATCATTTTGTAGAGCACAACGAACTCATTCCTTTAGAATGAAGAAGATATGATCCAATTAAGAAACTAAGCAAAATAAAGAGTTTTTTTTCCAGAAATAGCACCTTTTAAAAAAAAATTACAAAACTAGCACCCTTCCAAAAATATTTACAAAACTAGCACCCTTTTTTATGGACCGCACCCTTGAGGTGTGTTTTACATATAAACCGCATCCTCCAGGTGCGTTTTCTATATAAACCGCACCTCTAGGGTGCGGTCCATTTTCCTGGGCCTAAACCGCATCTTGGCCATGCGGTTTCACGTCTGCCCTACACAAACCGCATGGCCGAGGTGCGGTTTTGGCCTGACCTAGGCAAACCGCACCTTAGAGATGCGATTTGTTCCTCCAAAACAAAACCGCCGATCTAAGGTGCGGTTTAGCCACACAGACCGCACCCCCCCAGTGCGGTCTGTGTGTCAATTATTTTCCGACACACGACAATCACCCATGGAGAATTATAGACGTAGGGCTGCATGGCAGACCAAAACCGCACCTTAGAGGTGCGGTTTTCCTCATTTTTTTTGCCTATATAAGACTGCCCGGAAAACCTCTACTCTTCACACCTCTCCTTCTCTCATTTCAATTTTCTGTTGTATCTCTATATTTCTTTAGTGTTTTTGCCATTGACATTAACTCGTAAGTTTATTTTGTGTTACTTTTTATTGTTATTTGTGATTTGTGATTTTTATGATATTAACTGAACTACGGGTTTTTTTTTGTGCAGATGGCATTCCGCCAGTTCACGCTTGGCTTACGGTGGAATGGTTACACGGAAGAGACCGGAAAGGGGGCCACCTACGTTGGTGGCAATTTTCAGAAAATAAAGGTCGCTACCAGACCGAAGCTTGAAGACCTCCATCAAATATGCACTAACGTTACTTGCATGGATGGCACGAGAAGAGTAGATCGTATGGTGTACCGATATCCAAACAGAGAAAGTGGGTCATTGTGGCATGAGGAATATACCATAACCACTCAAGATGAAGTAGATTCCATGCTCGAATTCTTGAGGTCCAACAAATTGGCCAAAGCCAAGATGTTCGTTTACACCGAGCCAGCCGTTGGCGTTGGAGGTCATTCTGGACACGGTCAAACATCTGGTATCCATGGTGGAGGTGAATTATATGGAGATCATCCCTACCAAAGTTACCATGATCCTCATTCCTATTTTCAGTACCAAGAGCAAGGTGAAGGCCATCATCAATCTTTCCCGTCATATGAAGAAGGAGTTCAACCGGACCTCCCCAACCAACCCCAGTACAACTTCCAATCAGGCAGCGGTAGTTTTCACAACTACCATTATGGAGCTGATGAAGGTGCCTTTCATGAGCTGGATCAGATGGAAGCTGCCATGCCAGCACCAGTCAGCGACCCCTCCGATGAAGAAGGAGAGAACAACGTCAGTGCAGACAGCTCCGACCCTCTTGAAGGTGCTGATGATTCAGGACCAGAGTCGGATTCAGATAATGATGATGATGTGGCTCCTGACCGTGTACCAGTCCCCTACTACAATCACATTCCAGACGACAATTGGATGGTCGACAGCGACATTGAGCCGCCAGAGGTCCCAATATGGGGCCCACTCACTGGGTTTACGAAGGGCCAACAATTTGGCTCGAAGAAGGAGGTGCGGCACGCCATTGAGACTGAAGCAATGACTCGGCATTTTGAATGGCACAGAACTCATTCCAACACCAAAAGGCTCATAGTCAGATGCCGTAATCATCACGAGGGGTGCAATGTTAGGATTCGGGCCATCAACAGCAAGAGACACAGTCACTAGGTCATATCCCGTGCGGTGAACACACACACATGTGTGTCATTCATAACTTCCCAAGGCCATCGACAGTTGAAATCCAGGGTGGTTGCTGCGGCTATCAAGCATCTGATTGAGGTCGAACCGGATCTGAAGGTGAAATTCATAGTCGCTGACATTGCAAGTCGTTATGGTTATATGATTAACTATAAGAAGGCGTGGCATGGAAAGCAGAAAGCTCTGGCCGCCGTCTTTGGTGATTGGGAAGAATCATATGCATTCCTTCCCAAGTTAATAATGGCATTGGAGGCGTCTAACCCTGGCTCTGTTTTCTCCCCTCGATATCAAGATGAAGAGATACAACCCCCAGAGCCATGTAACAAACGCCATTTCAGCCGACTGTTTAGGGCATTCAAGCCATCTATTGATGGTTTTGGCTTCTGTATCCCTGTGATCCAAGTGGATGGTACATTCCTTACCGGCAAGTACAAGGGCACTCTCCTGATTGCCAGTGGGGCGGATGCAAATAGACAAGTCTTTCCTTTAGCCTTCGCCATTGTAGAGGGAGAGAATGCTGATAGCTATGGATGGTTTTTTCGACAACTTCAGCTCCACGTCACTAGGAGGACGAACCTGACAATAATCTCTGATCGGCACGCCGGCATTAGAGCTGCCATCTTAGGCTTGGATCCAGCCTAGAATTGGTCCCAAAAGTGGTGCATACGACACTTCAAGAGCAACTGGAACCATCATTTCAAACGGAAGAAGCTTGCTGATAATTTGTGGTGGATTGGTAAGCTCTCTATTGCTCTCTATTAGCCGTTAAATTTTGTCAACTAACAATATCTTGTAATATGGAGAGTGGTGCACTTGTTAGACTCTTTCTAAAGAGATGCATGCCTAAGGAAATGGGGTTTTAAGCGATTATCATGGTCCTCCCATTTCCTGGGAAAATCGGGTTTTAAGCGATCTTCGGATCCCCCCTTTTTCTGTCAAACAGGCTGTGTTTCTAAGGAGATGTATACCTCTCCTAAGAGTCTAATAAGAGTATGACCGGGTTGTTTGAAATTGTACTAAACTGACGATCATTGACTAACGTACTACTTTTCTGTGTGTTATTCAGCGGTTGCATACCAGGAGAAAAAAATTCAGGAGAAGTTGCAGAAGATGCGCGAGTTATGCCCTGAAGGGGCACAGTGGCTGGATGGACACGATCTATCCATGTGGACATTTCATAAAGATGGAGGGAAAAGATGGGGTATTGCCACAACCAACTCAAGTGAGAGTATCAACTCTGTCTACAAGGCCGTTCGTTCACTGCCAATCTCTGCCATTGTGGAAATGACTTTTTGGAAAACGAATGCATGGTTCTTGAACTGACTCCACTGGGCAAGGACGAACGAGGCACAGGGAAAGGTCCATGCCTATAAAGTCACTGAATTAATGGATAATGACAATCGCAAGAGCAGTCGACATAGTGTAACCGTTATGAATCGGGCAAATGGTGAGTATAGCGTGACGACCGGACATCAGGAGGATGGTAGACGGGGGGGGGGGGCACCGCCATGAAGTTTTGGTCAATTTCAGGACCAAAGTTGGTGAGTGCTCATGCCAGAAGTATCAGGGGAGAGGGTGGCCTTGTTCTCATGAAATGGTCGTGATTAAAAACAGGAGCAAAGAGCCCCGTCACTTCGTTAGTCCATTCTTCAATATCGACTCACTCAAAAACACCTGTGGACGGAGTTTCCATGCATTTCTTGATGAAGCTTATTGGCTGCTGTACGAAGGGAAATTGATCGTCCCGCCATTCGGACAGAGGCGTGAACCGGGTAGCCCGAGGAAAAAGAGAATTTAGAATGAAATGGATCAAAGTGGAAGACCACCACGAGGCCCATGTCGGGTGGGGATCTTGCGCGGAAGTGGGCGGGGAGATGGGGCGGAGGTCGGGCGGGGAGCTTGGGTGGAACTCGGTCCTGCACCTTGGGTGGAACTTGGTCCGGCACCATGTGGCACAAACAATGGGGGCGGCACTTTCCACCCCCCATATGGCGTTACGTCGGGCACGTTGGGCCTTTCCCGAACCCTCTTGCTCTTCTTTCTCTCGTATGGTGGTGGGGGATTGGGGACATCAAGTTGTACCGGAGGTGGTGGGGGTGTAGGCGCGGGCGGATATCTACGATGATCCCGGCCCTGAGCTCTGATACAGCCAAGTAGACTGTTTGCCATCCTCCTGATGAAGCTCACATCTTCATTGCCCAACTAAGTTCTTCCGGTAGTCATATCTTTGATCCGCTCGATCCCATCAGCCTAAATCACAAAAAAAAAGTTAGAAAAAGATTTAGGAACCAAGTAATAAATTTAATTGTTTAGACGGAATATACTTACTAATGCACCATCGGCCGCACCCTCCGCAGTCATGTAATGAACCGATGTTTGCCGATATCGATCCAAGTATGGGTCATGATACCCCATTCGGCCCACTTGATTTGGAGTGACAATATCCTGTAATTGTTGGTTCTCCCAAATCGCGATGAAGTTCGCCAACTTCGTGGGCCAATCGCGAGACCTTGCCGACCATCTCGGCCATGGAAGGCCCTTTGACTATCGGGGACCTCCAACGGAATGCACTGCTCCCGACCAAACTGAAGGAGGCATCGATCTGGCAAGTGCCACTCCACGGTCCCAAAACAAATTAGAGGAACCCTCGTGCACCATTGCCCGATATGACCGGGGAATTGCTGGAGATGCCAATGAACGATGTTCTCCGGGTATGGATCGAAGACGATCTACAAGAAAGAAATGAGTAACGTAAGATTAATTAACTAGAAAAATACATGTAGTCCCATGGAAAAAAATATAAATGGATCGCAGTATAGAAGTTACCTCTCCTTCCCAAAGTCGCTCAAACCTCCTCCGATACTCGTCCAACTTGTGTTGGACAAGGTTGTCGCATGTTATGTGTCCGAGCCACCTTATTAATAAGACCATAATGAAACTACAATAAGATAAAACACAAGGGAAAATGTGTTATGACTACATGATGGGGTATGAGAAGTTTACCTTGAACCATAAGCTTCACCTCTTAGGGGATGATCGATTGGCCAATCCCTGTCTGGACGTTTGACCGGTGCAATCCATGGCATATGCTCCCAAGCCCAAAATTGGACGATGAACATTGCGCCGCCGACCTCCCTCACAGCTTTTAGAGACGCATTGCACAATTTGTGGTAGATCATAGCTAGGCAAGGGGATGCCCAACTATACTCCCCCATTTCCTCCCAACTACCGAAGATGATCCTAAGCCATCCACAACTAAGGAGATTGCTTGATTTATTGGAGAAGAACACTCCTCCGATCATGCCTATGAGATAGATACAAGCATATCTCGCCTTCTCATCCTCCGGACTTTCCTCGGTTAGAGGATGACTCTCGTAATGGTCTCTAAAATACTTCGTCAACCAAGTAATTGAGACTTGGTGTTTCCTCATTGGTGGCATGCGATCGGTCGCATCAACGCAACCCTTCACCGGTACTTTCACTCCCAAATGACTGTGGATGAAATGAACCCAACCGGGCATACCGTCACGATCCTCGGGGGGATGATCACTCACGCACACCGGTTTGCCGTCGATTGGCAGATGAGTTAGGATGGCGACATCCTTTAGCGTGATGGTGGCCTCTCCTTCTCTAAAGTTGAAACAATGGGTCTCCTTTCTCCATCTCTCGCCTAATGCGGTGATGAGTTGGCGATCAATTTGGATGCCGTTAAAATGCCTAATCGAGTCCAACCGTGCCCTTTTGAGAAAGGGCAAGATAGCTGGGTGGAATGGGAGCACATTGGTGGTACCCCTGTAGCGGATTATTGTTTGTGCCTCCTAGCGAAAATTTACACGTTAATATTATATATTAGTAAGGTTTTTTTTCTTCTTATAACTAAATTAATTAAATTAAATTATTTAACTTCAAGCAGAATTTTATTATCATAAAAAGACATTTCATATTATCATATTATCATAAAACAAACATCCTAAATTAATTAACATAATAACATTGTAAATGAATAATAATTTAAAGAGGTACATACATATTATCGTAAAAAAAACATACTAAATTAATTAACATAAATAGCATTGTTAATGAATAATAATTTAAATAGAAACATACATATTCAAATGTTTGAAAATAATAAAATTCTTTTTGTGCACATAAAAATAAATCGTATTGGTTGTTTGGTAAATAATTTAATCGTATTGGTTGTTTTAAATAATTTAATCGAATACAAAGCAACACTCGTTAGACTCTTAGAAGAGGTATACATCTTCTTAGAAACACAGTCTTTTTGACAGAAAAAGGGGGGATCCGAGGATCTCTTAATACCCGATTTTCCCAGGTAATGGGAGGATATGATAATCGCTTAAAACCCCATTTCCTTAGACGTGCATCTCTTTATAAATAGTCGAAGTAAGTGGCGCTATGTATTCGATTAAATTATTGAAAACAACCAACACGATTAAAAAATCAACATAAATTTATTTTATATTACACTAAATACATTAACAAAATAAAAGAAGGACAAATGGTGAAGAATTGTATGTACCGGGTGATCGTTCCAAACATCCCTTGACCGATGGTTGGGTTGGTCGTACAAGTCGGTTGGATCCAACGGTCCTTGCTCGAGATAATACCGTTGGTTGTATATATCCACGTCCTCCCCAACCTACGAGAAAATAAAAACGAGGTTAGTACATAGATTAATTAAAAAGCTTATAACAACACCATAAATTAAAGCAGAATAATGAGTACATACCGCTTGAAATTCATCGACATAAACTCCCTCTCCTTGCCACCAATCGGCCATTTTTTTGGGAAATTCGGACAGAGTTTCGGGTCGGCTTGGCGGGTTTTGAGGAAAAAACCAAATTTCGGACAGAGATTCGGCTCGGCGGGTTTTGAGGAAAAAACCTAATAAATATTTTCTGATGGCAGATCGGACTTAGCCGCAACCAACAGACTTCTATTTCCTAGGCTTTTGGGAGGGGAGGGTTTAGAGAGATAAAATCTAGGGGAAGGGGGGTTATTTATACCCAACAGATCGCACCCTCCAGGGGCGGTCGGGTAATTTTACCCTCATGGAAACCGCACCTTGCCGAGGCGGTTTGCGTTTCCCGAGAGTTGACCGCACCTCGGAGATGCGTTCCCCGATCCGTGGCGCGGATCGCTCCGCTGGCGCGCGTTCAGCGCTCGGATCGTGCCCCCATCCAACGGTCTTCAAGACCGTTCCACAGAAACTGAAGACGGCATCTTGGGGCTGCGTTTCTTGTGCTGACGTGGCTTGGAACGCACCCCTAAGGTGCGTTCCATTAAATTGGTGTTATTCCTGTCAATATTTTCGGATTGGTGCTAGTTTTATAAAAAAAAAAAAAATTTAACGTGCTATTATTGGAAAAATCTCCAAAATAAATTCTTTTAATTCTCCACCCTTATATCTGTAGTCACTTAAAAGAAGGGTCTAGATTTAGTTACTCATAGTTATGCACCCTATCTTGAGCCCTGTCGGAGATATATGGGGTTTGGTTCGAATATCTAGTCTTGATTTGTGTCGTATCGTTTCAAATCACATGGCACAATAGGTCTTCTTAATTGCTAAGTCTTCCTTTCTATAATGTCAAGTCCAGAGGTGTATGTCATGTAGGTAGCATACAAAGAAAACCAGAGTTTCATGATCTAGCAAACATTCTCTCCCGGTGCTCTCTTGTTCTCTTCATCTACTCAAGGAACATTCTGAATCTCTATCAATATAACTTTGGGAATGTCGTGTTTTTGATGTGTCATAAAGGATATATTATTTTTTTATACCTCCATTGTAATCGAGTTGAGATTCTTGGGTCTTTGTTGTATGAACCGAAAAAGTTGACATAATATTACTACGAGAATGAAAAAGTTGACGATATTGAACGGGTAGCAATATCCCATCTGCTTACTCCAACCTGGGAGGAAGAGGAAAAAGTGGAAGAGGAATTTTTTTTTTAATTTGAAAATTAATAATTTTTTTTATTTTTTAAATGTCACATCATCAAACTAATTGTCAAAGGGTTTAGTTGACTGCCATGTAGGATGATTTTAGCAGAATTGGACGGCCGGTGGCTACGATGAAAAGATTCGTAAAGTTGGTGACGAATAAGAAAGAAAAGTAATTCGGGTTACAAACATGAAAGATTCGTATAATTTGAATGATCAAACGTGTAATTTAGCCGTTTGACTTTATAGACTGTCGATATTTATTCAGATGAAGTAACCACTCTTAATGATTAATAAAGTTGATACAGATAAAAAAAAGAGAACATTCTCTGTCACATATCCTTCGTAAATGTAGTGAAGAAGCTCCCCAAGAAGAATCATCCTTTATGAAAAGAGTGTGGCAGAGCTCTAAAAATGTCCCTCAAGTAGTTTAATTAAACATCACACACCCTGTTTGAACTTTGCTCAAACCAAAGTTGTCTTATGAGCTTGAAGTTTGCACAGGCCCGTCATACCATGTGCTTGGAAAACAACGGTTAATATTGGGGGTCGTGAGGACTTGAACACGTGACCTCAAGGACAAATCAGCTCTGATACCATGTCATAAACCAGTTGGTCTCAATAGCTCGAGTTATTGGGAGAAAGTTATGTTAGATCTTATACAGACCCATATATCATATCTATTCTCAAAAGGTAGACACCAACCTACAAATACACATGAGATCATATGAAGCATTTTATTCAAGCATCAGACCAGGATATTGTCAAATTCCCCCAATCATCTTCAGGCACTCCCAGCGCCTCCCACACTGCTTTCACGATATCGTTAGGGCAAGGTGGCTGATAGCCATGATCAGAATCACATCCCAATTCCCATGGCACCAATGTTAATGAATTCAAGCACCTGCTCTTGTTGTTGAGCCATCCAGTCCAGAGCGCCACTATAGGCTCATTGTTGGAATGGTACTGCTTGTCGCACTCCGATGGCTCGCTGCTTTCCCCCTTCCTCGCAGCTGTTCCGGGTTAGAGTTGCCACGGTTTGGCTGGTGACTGGAGGCGAACATTTGAAGGTTCTGTAGTGCTCGCCATCATTCCAACAGTCGGATTCCTCACCTTGGTCGCATTGCCCCGGTGACGTTGTTCCAGTTATGAACCCACTCGACTAGTATTGCTGTGCCTCGAGATAGGGAAAGAAAACCAGGAAGCTGATTAGAAGAATGCAAGAAAGGACTTCGTTCTTCTCGTCACCTTTCGATTATGATGCTTCTCTCTCTTATGATGGTATGTAGTTTGAGGAAGTCAGGGTTTCTTCAGCAGTTTTTATATGTAAGAAAATGCTCAACCAGATGCAGACGGCCAGCGCAAGGTTATGGTCTCTAAGAAGCTGGAATGAGAGGATGAGAATGACTCACCGTTGCAAGTTTCTTGATTGGTGGAAATAGACAGCTTCTAACGGAGAGAAAACATAGTTCAAACACCATATTACGGTTAGAGTGTGGTATATGATACATGATTGAACCTCTCCTAACAACTCGAGTTATTTGGATCAACTGGTTCTTGACATGGTATCAAAGCCTAGAACCGAAATGTCATGTTATTTGGATCAACTTCAACTCCCGTAAGTTGATTTTTGCACCTTCAAAATCCAACATTAGCTGCACGCCACAAATGTATACCAGAAGTTGAAGCTTTTGTCCTTTCAGGAACAACATGCAGACAATCTCTATTATCAAGATAAAGCTGGAATCGGAGAACCAAGGTTCTTCTTCACTAAAGTGAACTTATGAGAGCCTGTGCAAACTTCAACTCCCGTGAGTTGATTTTTGCACCTTCAAAATCCAACATTAGCTGCACGCCACAAATGTATACCAGAAGTTGAAGCTTTTGTCCTTTCAGGAACAACATGCAGACAATCTCTATTATCAAGATAAAGCTGGAATCGGAGAATCCCATGAGGAGAACCAAGGTTCTTCTTCACTAAAGTGAACTTATGAGACATATCAATTGTCCAGCATCTCAAGTAATCAATCCTAGACAGTCTCTCTATTATCAAGATAAAGCTGGAATCGGAGAATCCCATGAGAGAACCAAGGTTCTTCTTCACTAAAGTGAACTTATGAGACATATCAATTGTCCAGCATCTCAAGTAATCAATCCTGGACCTTAAAAACAGTGAATATGCTTAAACGCATGCTATGTTTCGGCTGACTATCAGACAGATGGCTGCAAATTTTGAGAGACTACATTAAATAGGAGACAGTTAAGCTGCCTCTTGACTACCAAACAGCAAACAGTAGCTTACTCTATTTTCAAGCAGAAAGGAAAATAGAAGCTTCTCCAAGCGCACCTTGGATTATGGCTTCAAAAAGGGTCAAGGCAGGTATTGCTATACTTGAGGTAATTGCTCAAGAATAGCAGTATAGTAGTTCAAAGTTCAGACATCAAATGATTAAGAAAGTGGGAAGGAAATATGTTATCGCATTCAAGTTAAAGCAATATGGTAAATGAGCAAAACTCAAGGAAAATTGAACAAAGATGAAACAAACTACATGGCATCTATGTTCTGCAAAAAGGATTCAAACATATATCGACCTAGACCTCACCGATTATACAACAGCACATGCATGAGAGCAGCTATTACAAACAACAAAAATTCGCAGCAGCCTTGCAAATCAGTGATACATTTCGGCGAACTTCATGCACAATTCGCGATCTCTTTCATCCCCCCACCCACCCCAACCTTTGAACCCAGCTTGATACCCGGGTTGATTCTCGTACACCCTCACTTCCCACTCCTTGTTTACATTCACTGCCTTATCAGTCTCTTCCGCCACAATATTCATTGCACCATTATCAATGCAACCACTCTTCTTCTCCTTCTCCCCATGGCCCTGATGCAGACCACACTTGCCGAAATGGACAGCACTTGTCCTGGGCCCACGTAAGGAATACACAGGTCCTCCAAATGAAGGGTAAACTGTCGCCCACATCGTTATATCCCAATTATAATCATCAAAGAAACAAAACTCTTTGGCTTTCCGATGAATCTTCTCCCAAACGGTTCGATTGAACGAGTAACCCACGTTCCCCATTCTCTCGGCGATCAAACTGTTCCAATTCTCTCCTCTGGAGTTGACATCCGAGGGTGCTAAATTTGCAGCATAGCAATCAGGGCATTTCACCGGCTTCAAATCAGCAAGCACCTTCAAGTTAAGGTATGCATTGGGGAAAATGAAGTGATCCTCCTCGATGAAGAGGATATGACCAGAGTGTCCCTTTGTCTCCTTCATACCATCCCATACCATGTTCATCATCCACCACCAGTGATGCTTCAGTGACACTATCTTGGGGGACCGGTGATTCCCATACTGATCTGGGTTCCCTATACAGCCCTTCTCGGAAGCATTATCTTTCTCCTTGCAGTCAGCTGGAGAAACACCAGGGAACCCCTTTGAGTAAAACACATGAGGCGAGTAAGGAGCAAATATCTGCTTCACCTGGCAAAACTTGATGCTTTCTACAATCTTGTTCATCTGTTTGAAGTAGCCATCATGGCTAACAACGAGCAATGTCTCGCTTATCCCTACAACCTTTGACAAGCTATCAACCACAACTTTCAGATACTGCGGTCTGTTGTGAACATACAACACAATGGTTATATGATCATCAGCTAGCTTGGGATACAGATCTAGATTCCTGGGAGGTAACTGGTTAAGCTTTTCTAATTGCAAGGATAGTTCGCTCTGCTTGGGGAGATTGAGCCTTGCCATAATGGCAGAAATGTTGTGAAGTGGCTCCAGATTGGTATAATAGGACTCATTCAGATTTCTTGAGACAAAACTCGAGACTGAATTTGTTCCGAGCAGGACAATCAGTAGCAGAACCCCTATCACCGTGACAAGAACGAGAGATGCAAATCGGCGAAAAGCCCCAGCTTTGAGCCGGGGTTTCTTGCCTTGGACGGCCATTCACACATACAATTCATAAACACGTTGCATTCAAAATTGGCAGCTACTACTCATAAATAAGGTAAAATCAAGAGCTTGCCCCAGACAAACCTACTGAAAGCTTCCAGGTTTCTTCTGCAGCCAGCCGACCCAAATGCAGAAGACCAAGGGGCGGCATAAACCCAGAAACAACGAAGACCGCGAAGAGATCGGAGGTTTGAAACTTGAATCCCCAGCGACTTGACCAGACTTGAAAAAGGAAGAGTTATGGAGGAATTGAGGAATAGTTTGCCGTATGAAAGCTGGAAACTTTATGTCATCGGCGGTGAGAGTTTGGAGGTGGGGAGCTTCTTCGAAATCGCAATCAGCGGAGACTTCGAGACTTTCTTTGGACTGACCGGACAAGTATGGAAGGACTAAGACTTCTCAATTCTGATGGCTTTGCAAATTACAAAATGGATTTTTGTTGCTCTTACAGACTTACACGGTGTTTGGCAGTGTAAATTTAGGGGATGAATTTAAAAATAAATTCTCAAAATACACACGTTATAATTTTTTTTTCCAAAATATACATGTTAGGGCATCACCGTTATTGTCAATCGCAGTGAATGCATTCATCGCGGCAGACCAAAGCGGTGAATGCATCACTGCGGTTGACGGCCGCGGTGAATGCCTGACTTAACACTGAAACTTCAAACAAACATAACTTTGCGCTCGGTTATCTGATTGTAGCGAAATTTTTTTTGATTCCATATAATTTTTCAAGATCTTTCAATCTGCAACAAGACTTCATCTAAAAAAAATGTCGTTTGTTACCCCGAACCAGCAATTTTTCGATTTTGCCAAACTTTGGAAGGACATAACTTTTAGCTCCTCAAACCGAACGTGGTAAAGTTTTTTTTTTTTATTGTGCATAAATTTTTAAGAACTACAACTTTTACTAGGAAATAATTTTTTTAAAAAGAATTATTTTTGGGTATACGAGATTTTGGGAATAACTTTGCCTTTACTTTTCACAAATACACATACTTTCCAAAATTATGGTTATAATAAAAGTTGTAGTACTTCAAAAGTTATGCAAAATAAAAAATAAAAAGTTTCATGACATTCGGATTGTGGAGCACAAAGTTATGATCTTCCAAAGTTTGTCAAAATCGAAAAATTGCTGGTTCGGGGTAGCAAATGATTTTTTTTTTTTTGAATTCTTGTTACAGATTGAAAGATCTTGAAAAGTTATGTAGAATAAAAAAAATTCGCTACAATCGGATAACCGAGCGCAAAGTTACGTTTGTTTGAAGTTTGAGTGTTACGTTAAGCATTCACCGCGGCCGTCAACCACGGTGATGCATTCACCGCTTTGGTCTGCCGCGGTGAATGCATTCACTGCGGCTGACAACAGCGGTGATGCTCAAACATGTGTATTTTGGGGAAAAATTTTATAACGTGTGTATTTTGAGAATTTTTTTTAAAAACATGTGTATTTTGGGATTTTTTCCAAATTTAGGAGGATTAAGATATATAGTTTGGAAGTTGCTATTGATGATATTATATTTAGGATAAACACAATTTATTACTCAAAATTTTCATTTTAAACAAAATAATAGCTAAAAATTTCCAAAAATGTTATAAATAATTATTCCGGAGATGGATAAACAACACCATTAACACGAAGTAGAGGAGAAAGATTACCACCACTTTTATTATACTCTCGTATCCCTATTACGGAGGATTGTAGACACAGAGATACATGGAGAAGTGAGGGAGAAGAGAAGCTTGTTGTGCTGTATCTTTCCTTCTTCCATAGCTTTCCTTTTATAGCCATTGAGTTTAGAGTCCCAATTAAGTAGATGGAGGATGTGTATGATGAACATCCACTTAATACTATAATACTTAATCATAATGGTGATCTATAGTGGGTTGGGAATTTAATTAGGATGGGAAGAAGGTGGTAGTTGGGGTATGTGGGCAATTGACATCCACATATATATTCATAATACCCCCCTTGGATGTCTATTGATTAAGAACATGCTTCGTTAAAACCTTGCTAGGAAAAACCATGTGGGATAAAAACCTAGTGAAGGAAAAAGAGTACATAGTTCTTCTGTTACGCGTTGTATAATGCCTCATTAAAAACCTTACCAGGAAAACCCAGTGGGAAAAACCTTAGTTAAGGGGAAAAGAGTGCAGTGCGTAAAGTCTCCCCCTTATGAAGAGATCTATCAACATCTCCCCCTCATGGAAAGATCTATCAACAGTTTGAAGTCTTCGAGATCCAATATATTTTCACATGACATTGTGGAAAGTAGTATTGTTATAGACAAATCTGCTGGATAGTCATTTAACAAACTTTGTTGGTTCCACAATTTTTCATGAAGGACGTTATTGAAAAACCTTACCAGGAAAAAGAGTACATAGTTCTTCTGTTACGCGTTGTATAATGCCTCATTAAAAACCTTACCAAGAAAACCCAGTGGGAAAAACCTTAGTTAAGGGAAAAAGAGTGCAGTGCGTAAAGTCTCCCCCTTATGAAGAGATCTATCAACATCTACCCCTCATGGAGAGATCTATCAACAGTTTGAAGTCTTCGAGCTCCAATATATTTTCACATGACATTGTGGAAAGTAGTATTGTTATAGACAAATCTGCTGGATAGTCATTTAACAAACTTTGTTGGTTACACAATTTTTCATGAAGGTCGTTATTGAAAAACAAACTTCGCTAAAAATATCCTCATATATATCTTTTCAGAAGATACATATAATATCACTTTCATATATGATCGTCTAAATCAATCTTTGATAAGTATGTTAAATAATGGATAACTTTATCAAATAGATCATTATTCTCATAGTGATCTTAATTATCAATATATCTTACTCATTCTTATCATTTGTGCACCTTTTATATATTTCTTGATGCACATGACTTTCCCTTGCAAATGTTTGATTTGCAATCCAGGGGATAGTCTATTTCTTTCAAGTTATTGATTACTTTTGAATACTCTTCTAGAGTTTCAAGTCATTCAATAACTTCCTATGTTTGAATACTCTTCTAGAGTTTCAAACCTATTTATACCTTCAATCTCAACTTGAGATCATTGTTCATAAATGTGTCGACACCCCAAAGGTGGCAAAGAATTTGTCAGCACATTGTTATAAGACGTTTTGTACCTTTAACCAATTGATAGAACACACGAAACAGTCATTGGAAGACATTCTAGGTAAATACATTCTCCTGTCTCGAATGTATTATTTCCTTCTTGTAGGAAATTCATCGATACTGTCATTTTGTCGATGCTCTTTCTATTTGATTTCGAAGGTTTAATGAGTTGGATAATGTTCCCCATAACCTTAATATGTTTGCTTCGAGCAAACTAACCCCTTCAGAGAGTTTCATATCGATATCATTTATCAACCACATGCTTAATAAGTGAATTGTAACAAAATTTATTAGACGTGTGACTTTATAAACTGCCAAAAGTCATATCCACCATATGAAAGTCTACTTACAGTCAATGCCCACTATTTTGCGAAGACTTTATGACAAGTCGAGCATGATATCTCTTAATTTCTCCCCCTTTGTCATGTCTTCGTAAAACATCACATGAATTTTACTGGCATTGCTTCTGTATAGCTCTTATGACCTTTTACTGTTTAGGCTAGTTCATAAATGCCACAAATGCGTCGTTACAACTTGGTCTATAAACTTTTTAAGGTGACCAATGGATCTAACTTCACGATCCTCTTTCATATCATATTGCGTGCTACAATATATAATAACTCTATCGTCAACGTTGACTTCCTTTCGATTCCATTGAATCTCATCCAAGATATAATTTATTGAGATTTCTTTCATAATCCCAAAATAGGTACATGTGGTTCTTCCAGATCAATGTTATAATACTTGGAGATTCAAATAAGCTTGCAATATCCTCATCATAAAAACAATCTTTATTTTGAGCTCCATTTATTTTTCGAGGACTTGTATTTCTTTGGAATCGATAGTTCAACACATTACATATGTGTGTGCAACATATCCTTCAGGGATATAGTTCTTAGGAGCATTAGCAGCTTTTGTGACTTAGTCACTCCTTTGTGATCATTAATTATGTCTGGCAGTAGGCTTACTAAACTTGGAAAATGAATTATCATTGAACTTCAAGCTCACATTACAAATGAGAGGATCATAATTCATTTCAACCAATTTTAGAATCAGCTGCTGATAGACCGATAATTACACATGTTTTCACCCCTATTCTGGAGCCGTTTGAGATGTTGATTCTCGTGTTTTAAGCCGATTTCACGCGAGGTTGTACGTTTATGTCATATTTCAGGACTTGGCGTTGGAATCGAGGCAAAGGAATGAGATTCGGGTCGAAAGGAGCAAGTGATGCTTGAAGTGTGCTGGAGAGCCAAAATACCTGGCCATGAGCAGAAATACCCGACCGGGTATTATCTGGCCAAGGTCGAGGATTTTTGGCTTTGGGCGTCCGTGAGAAACAGAAGGGGGCCCGGGCAGGAGGCAAAAATCCCCGGTCGGGGATTATTGGAAGAGACCGGGGATTTCCCCTGAGGCCGAAACGGTGCCCTTCAATTGTACCCGGTCGAGACCCAAAATACCCGACCGGGTATTTCGACCGGGTATCGCGACAGGCAGCAGTTTTAAGGGAAAAGAAGGCTGAAAATCAAGGGTTCCGAGTTTTAGAGAGACATAGCGATTCCTAGAGAGAGAAAGCGACGAACCAGAGTTCCCAAGTGCCATAGCTTGATCTTCATCACCATTGGAGCCCGGCTTGAGCTTGGAGAAGTGCCGATTGACAACCAGGAGCAGAAACTCATCCTTCACAGTATGATTTCCGCGTTTGAATCTGCTTTTGCTTCTCTCTCCACGGAGTAGTTTCCCCATTCATCTGGGTATGGGGAACCCTAGATTTGTATGTTAGGTCTGATTTGTGAACCCAAGTACAGCGTTTATAAATTGATTATATTCGATTGAGGTTTGAATGATTGAATGACTTGAAT